CCATATTATCCGTTAATAAATCTAACTACCATTACACTTAGATTGTCGGTGCTAAACTTTTGTAAAGCGTGCTCAATCAATGTCTTACTTGCCACCTGAGGATCTGCAATATCTTTAATGAGATCGACGGCACCTTGATCATCGCATACATCCCATAACTAAATAATAGCGTAAATGAATAAATTAAGAGCGCATGGCAATCAAAGAAAACTCGTAGACGGTCTAACCGGTAAACTATCCAACTTACCCCATCGCAAGCAAGTATCAAAAAGGGATCTTTCTCCGTTAGAACCGTTTCGGCAGTGTATGGATTTCCTATGACGAATTCTTTCATGGAACTGTCCCCCAATGAACGTGTTACGGCCAAAACACCTTAATAAAACGAGAGAAACAAATTAAAAAAATTTCGCAAACATTTTGAAAATTTTTACTAAAAACCAACCATTGACACGATTATTCATGACGAATCCACCCGCATCAACAATTCGCTTTGCCTCTTGAGGGTCACTGCCTTTATGGTCATAAGATAATCGAACCGCTTTACCGTTTCGACTTATAAAGAATAAACATGTGTAAAAAATAAATCAAAGATATTCAAATGTCGAAAGGAGGTATTAGAACAACCGTTTAATGAGATGTATACCTTAAAACTGCGCGCGCATCACCAACATTTGCAGTATATAATACGCGCTAATAAAATATAATTGATTTGTGATAAAAAATTAAAAGATCGAATGACTAATTACGAGTGGATTCAAACTTTAACCTCATTTACCTTAAACTTCTTTTTAGAATCTTTTGTTTCCTTATGGGTAACGGGTTCCTTATTATTAACATCCTTATCGACCTCTGTCACATCCTCCAATCTTAAAAAGGCAGAGATAGCTGTGCACCCGGAATGCTTTCCCGCATTTTGATTAAGTTGCTTATCTGCCTGCAGAAAAGCTAAATGAAAAATCTCGGGTATAGGGAGATGAGGATTCTCCCGAAGAACGTCTTGAAATGTCTGAACAAATAGAAAACATCAAGAACAGCAATAAATGTTCATGATAATTTTCACAAAAAAGAAA